TTTTCTGGTGTTATTGAAGACTTTTCTGGTGTTGTTGAAGACTTTTCTGGTGTTATTGAAGACTTTTCTGGTGTTGTTGAAGACTTTTCTGGTGTTATTGAAGACTTTTCTGGTGTTGTTGGAGACTCTGACGTGAAAGCACATATCGCTCTGCAGTCACTGTCCTCAATGAGCAGCGGGTGCTGCCGTGAGCCCCTCCGCAGTCCCAAAGCACCCACAGGCGGTCAGTCTCACAGTAGCCTTGCGTAGCAGTCCCAGCTGCAGACTGTGGAAGACATTAGTGCTACTAGATAGTTTTCTGACGTCGTCTACAGGGATGATTTGCTAGGAATCGGTTGCTTCTATCTTGCTCCCCTACTTGACCAATCCTGCTTAAGAATGAGGCTCGGACCGCCTACCTCATTAACATACGGACACAGAAATAAATAAATGGAGGAATACAGAAATGTAGAAATAGATTTATATATTTATTTCCTGTTTAGGTATCATTCATTTCAGCATTTAAATATTTCTGTATTTATTTCAGCATTTATTTATTTATTCAGATCTGTATTTATACATTTGTTTATGCATTTATCTATTTATTCCTGTATTTATTTATACATTTATTTATTTATATTTAAGACATTTTTCGTTCTCCATAGACTACGCCTGTGTTCAGAAATATAAGCTAGTATTTGCAAGTTGTTTTTTCAACATTTGGCACTTTACTTAAGCAGCTGGCTATAGAGCTGTAGTTGACAATTATTTCTAACATTGATTAATCCACTGTTTTATCAATAGAGGAAAATGAATATGATGTATCAGAATTTTTAGATCCCTGGTTTTGTCCGACAAGCTGTCCAACACTCGGAGAAATTCAATTTTCAATCATATCTGATAAACAAAAGCATGAAATCCTCACATTTTTACCTATTTGCTCGCGAATGACTGAAACAGTTTGACTAGTAGTCTGCGCTCTAGTCGGCTGTTAAAGACGCAGCAGCACTCTTCTTGATATTGTCTTCTTGTCAGTATTATACTTCAGTACACTTGTCTTACTCTGAAGACATCCATCCATCCATCATCTATCCATCATAAAAAATAGTTCGTTGGGAAACCCCGCCCGTCTCGCTCAATCCGGGGCTGCGCCGGTGAGGTTTTCAAGCCCATCTTTTCATTGTGGGAATCACGTGACCAAACGGAAGTTGCGCCTACACCGACATGAACTCTCCTGAAGTAGGATACTATTAACACCTCTGTTACTGGAGCAGTGTTAGTGCATCTCCTTTAAAACAGTTGTTTAGTTTCAGCTGTTTAAAAATGGCGTCCAAGACAACAGCAGCAGTGGGCTGTTTAACACGGAGGATGTTCTGTCCTTTTACCCTCCACGCTCCACGCAGTTCACTAGCACTGAATATGCGGAAGTGCAGCTCCAAACTGGCAACCGAGCAGGACAAAAAAACAAAGGTTTGTACAATAACGCACAACCTAACAGCTGCAGGACATTTATTTTGAAAAGTTCACCTACATGAAGTGTTATCGTGTCCACGGCAGCGTTTAACAGTTTAACGACCCGTATGCACGTCACGTTTGACAGATAATATTATTGCTTTATTTTAACTTTAACACACTTAAATCTCCAACCGGGCCCAGTTGCATTGTGGGTAATGTATGCACCAAGTTTTGAAAAGGAAGAAGAGAAAAACTGCTTTATATAATTTAAAACTCTCAATTGTGAATCTGACATTGTTATAGGAGTGCAATGTTGAATCTCTTTTTAAGTTGCAGGGTGTGGAGCCCTCAGGGCCACCGTAGAGAGCTGAAGCTCAAGTTCAGAACCTGAAAAAAATGTGGGTTTCTAGTTAATATAGCAGATAATGTAGCATAGCGTCCAATCGGTTGTTGTTTCTATGCAGAGATCTCCCTTCAGACCAGCGGCCAGCGCCACGCACGACTGGATCGGTCCACCGAACCCACTCTCCAACCTTCGGCCAATCGTCTACCACGTCCCCGAGAACGAGTCTGAGCTGCAGAGACGTCTGAGACACCTGAGACAGGAGACCGAGGACTGGAACCACGACTTCTGGACCAAACAGAACATCAGCTTCAGCAAGGTAGTGATGCATTCAACGACATGAAATACAAGATAAAGACAAATTATAGACCTCATAAACACCTCACTGTCCACACACTCCTTCCTTCCTTACCTTCTTTGCCTCTGTCTCTTCTCCTCTTCCTCTTTTCTCCATCACCTCCCTCTATTGCCTTCCTTTCCTCCCTTCCCCCTCCCCTCTTTCTGTCTCATCACCTTCCCGTATGTCCTTTTCCTCATCTTCCTTTGTCACCTATTTACCTCTGTCTTCTCTCTTTCTCCCTTTTCTCCCCACTTACCTCTCTGCCCTTTTTACTCCCTTCCTATCTCCTTCCTTCCCTCCTCCTGTCTGTCTTCTGTCCTTCCTTGCTTCTACATATGCTCCCTTCCCCACCTTTTAACCTCTGTCTCCTATTCTCCTCCTCTTTTCTCCTTCACCTCCCTCTCTGCCTTTCTTTCCTCCCTTCCTCCTCGTCTCCCTTCCCTGCTTCTGTCTCCTTTCCTTCCTCCTCATCTCCTTCCCTCTTTCAATGATATAAACGATCAATCACATGATCACGGTCATCATTATTGATCAAGAGTGTAGCGTTGGACAACATTAAAGTGTCCTCTGCATACTGAGCCCTTATGTCAGTTCTTGTTTCCACCAGCAGAGGGCATCATCGCACAACAAACTGTTGCTGTTGAGTTCAAAACTTATGAGGAATTAAATAACTTCAGTTTGATACTATTTAACAATGAAGATATGTCATAAAACCTATTTTTATTTCATTTCAATGTGTGACTTTCCAAATGTTTTGGTTTGTGTATTTATTAAATTAATATTATACATTGTATAACAGGGGTTCTGTCTACAACACAATAAATAGACATTCCTGACTGGTCTTATGCATATATTGGTTTAAAACATTCTAATTAAAGCAGGCTCTCTGGATGAGAAACGAAAGAGGAATATTGAATATTTTTATTGTATCTATTTGTTATTTAAGTTTTCTCTGTTGTTTAGACCGATCCTGTCTCATTTATTTATTTTAGAATAGTTAGATGTGGCTCATTGTGTTGACTCTTGGCTTTTTGTTTGTGTTGTTGGATTTAAATGAATAAAAAACATATTTATGCTCTCTGCAGGAAAAAGATGCGTTCATCTTCTCACAGCTGAACTCAAAAGGCCTGAGTGTGCGTGACGAGCAAGGTGAGAATACGCAGCTCTTCTACAGATGAAGATTAAATTATTATTCTTTTACATTTATTCACATCCTCTGATGTCAGACCATGTGATGAAATGTTGTGGTCTCCTCCTACTCTTTCTCCCCCACCTCCCTCTTCGACTTCCTTTCCTCCCTCCCTTCCTCCTTCATTCCCTCCTTCTGTCTTATCTATTTACCTCTATTCCTCCTTGCTTCTTCCCTTCCTTCCTGCCTTCCTTCCTTCCTTTCTCACCTTTTTACCTGTCTCCTCACCTCCTCGTCTTTTCTCCTCCATCTCCCTCCTTTCCTCCTCTCTCCTTCCTCACTTCCTTTCATCTCCTTCTTCCCTCTGTCCTTCCTTGCTTTTTCCTTCTCTCCCTTTGTCTCCTTTCATTCTTCCTCATGTCCTTGTCTTTGTTCCTTCCCTTGCACCATTCTTTCTTCCTTCCTCACCTTTTTACCTTTGTCTTCTCTCCTCTTTTGTCCTTCACCTCCTTCTTTGCATTTATTTCCTTCCTTGCTCCCTCCTTCTGTCTCCTCTGTCCTCCTCATCTCCTTCCCCTTTGTCCTTCCCTGCCACTTCCCTTACTCCCTTCTTTCCTTCCTTTCTCACCTTTTAAATCTGTCTTCTTCTCCTCCTCTTCTCTCCGGCACTTTGCATTGCTTTCCTCCTCACCTACATCCTTCCTCCTGTCTCATCACCTTCCCCCTGCCCTTCCTTACATCTTCCCTTGCTCCCGTCCTTCCTTCCTTCCTTCCTTTTTTCACCTCTGTCTCCTCCTCCACCGCCTTTCTTCCTTACCTCCCTCTTCATCTTCCTTTCCTTACCTCCCTCTTCATTCCCTTCCTTCCCTCACTGCTTCCTTTGTATATAATATCATCTCCTGTGTCCTCACTCCTCCCCCCCAGGACGCCGGCGTTCCCTGAACAGTGAAGAAATGGCCGTGTTTTACAAATGCTTCCTGGACACAAATGTAACACGACATGCAGATTATAACAAGTGAGTTGTTCTGGTTGTTTCCCATGATGCAGCTGGTTGTTTCCCATGATGCCGCTTGGCTTTACATCAAATGTACTGAACCTTGTAGAGAAGAACAACAAAGCTTTCTGTGAATTAGCATTCAAAAACTGTTTGTTTCTATGTGAGAGACTCGTCCATAACACATCACCTCTGCGTCTGATTTCAGTTTTATTTATTTTTCTGTCTCCTCTCCTCATCTTCATCGCCTTCCTTCTGCCCTTCCTTGCTCTGTCTCCTTTCCTCCTCTTCTTGTCTTCCCCACCTCCCTCTTTGCCTTCCTTTCCTCCCTTCCTCCTTCCTGCCCTCTATCTCCTCCCCATCATCTTCATTGCCATCCCTTTGTTCTTCCCTTACTTCCTTCTTTTCTCACCTTTTTACCTCCGTCTCACTCTTGTCCTCCTTTTCTCCCCCACTTTCCTCTCCGCCTTCCTTACCTCCCTTCTTACTTACCTACTCATCACCATCCTTCCCTCTGTCCTTCCTTGCTTTGTGCCTTGCTCCCGTCCTTTCCTTTCTCACCTTTCTACCGCTGTCTCCTTTCTTCCTCCTCTTTTCGCTCCCCTTTCCTTCTTCCTCCCCTCCTTCCTTTCATTCTTCTCTCCCTCCCTCTTTTGTCTCCTCTCCTTCCTCCTCATCTCCTTCTCTCTGTCCTTCCTTGCTTCTTCCCATGCTGCCTCACCTTTTTACCTTTTGTTACCTCCATTGTATGAAATACTATAAAATGATTTGTGTTTGGGGGAAAAATAACAATTTACAACCATAAAATGAGCTAAACGTCTTCTGTAAAACTGTATTTTTGTATTTGTTAAGTCATCCTGTATCACTGTGTCACTAACTCTCCCTCCTCCTCGTGTCCAGGGAATGGTACCGACGTAACTTCACCATCACCTTGCTCATGGCCCGAGTGGCCATGAAGAACATGTGGAGGACTGTTACTGAAAGATACAACAGCAAGAAAGACAGCTGATAATAAATACAATATTAACCCACCGTCCTGTCTCTGTGTTCACTGCTTATTTATCATATTATTCACTTAATTAGAAACCCACCTGAAGATTTAAATCTCTTTTCTATCCTTCTCTATTTCTGATGTGTGGTTGATTCAATCAATCAGGTACTGATATATCTATCTATCTATCTATCTTCACTGCTCACTTGGAAACAGAAGATCTGCTCGTTTGATCTATTTAGTTTCCATCTTTCTTATAACCACATTTTAAAACGGGCGTAAATCTTGAGAAGCTTTACTATAAAACACACCAGGGCTCAGACACTTTTACTACATTGTCTTTGTTATTGGACACCTTTGTCTGCATTTATGTCATGTTTTGGGTCCAGAGTGTTGGTGATTCCCTGTTAAGGTAATGCAGTTTGGGATTGCAACATTCACTACAGCTAAAACAACCACAAAAACTTTGTGAAAGGTATGTTTTGAAC